GTGGTAGTATCCTGGAGCAGCGGTCGCCAACCTTTCATACCTCACGGACCACCAGTGGTCCACAGACACGGACCACTGGTTGGCGACTGCTGTCCTGGAGAATCCAGGTCCAAAATGGCAACATAACCTGTGGAGAGTGGAGTCTCCTCAGGTTTACTTCAAAACCACCTGGTTCCCCAGGCCTTGACTACTTCCTCAGGTAGAAAGAAAGCCTTGGTTGCTGCCCTCATCCTTTCTCCTAATACCATCAGCTGTTCAAGTGAGGGGCGTGTTCTGGCATGGCCTCCATCATGATTGTGGTGACAGTAGCTCTGACCCAGCCAGACCCGTGGAGGGAGGCTCCCCTTCACTGATGGCTATCCTGAGGGACTGGGTAACATGATCTAGAAATGGGAAAAACTGGACCAACAAGAGACAGCAGACTGGAAGTAGCCAAGAGGTAATTCTTCATTCCTCTCCTGTAGACTATTTTGAGGGCTTCTTGGAAGCAATCACATACGGACAACCGGATGTGTTTGCTTGTGAAGCCTTGCTAATTCATTGCACTTCAGCCTATACTTATTTTTTCTCCTTCCTTGACTCATTTCCCCTTTTCCTTAACTCCTGATTCCCTGAAGTTGTATCTCCTATAACCAATAGAACATTCGCAATCAGCTTTGCCTCTGGCTTTGTTTTAACAGGCTAAGATAAATCTATTTTACAAAGAAGGGAACTGGGGTCCAGGGGGATTAGGTAACTTGTCCAAGATCCTATAGGTGGTAAATAGATGAGGCAGGATTTGAACTCTGACTTAAAAGCCCATGCTCTCAGCAACTCTGATGTTATTCTGCCTGAGGGTCTGGCTGCCTGTCAGTTTCTTCTTCTAGACCTTGATTCTGAAGACAAGATCTTGCCCTCATGAGTTCTGGCATGTCCAAGGTCCTGTTTCATAGAGATTACTTGGGGGACATTCTTGTTGCATTTGTACTGTGGATAATGATCTGAGCCAGTTTTGAGGAGTAGGAGCCATTGTATGACAAAGCATATTAGAAACAGGAGTTCTAGGCACTTCTGACAGCTGGGAAGACAGATACATTCAGCGAAGGGGACATTCTGAGTGGGACAAGATTGCTCTTCAGGCTGTGGTGCGAACTAGGCACCTTCAGACTTCAACCTGCCTGTGACTACACAGAAAAGAAAGCATGACTCCTCCCTCTAACTCCCCACCTGCTGTTAATATGACAAATATGTCTTTGATTGCTAGAGGGTGGCCAATGCTATTACACTCATGATATACAACAGGTGGAAGCATCCTTTCAGGTTCCTGTGCATTTAAAAATATTATGTATTCAGTTATTCAGTTACAATTTTTGAAAAGTCATTGTGACTTCACAGCAAGAAGACTGGATTTTGAAGTTTCAAAGCATATTTATGAGGAAGAAAGTAGAAAGACAATATCAACTTTATAGCTCAATAAACTCTTTGTAACTTAAGTATCTTAAGATAGACCCTGGGGATTCAAAGGTGAATGAGATAGGATATCTCATAGTATGACCAACTGTCTTAGTTTGCCAGGACTGAGGGGTCTTCCAGAATGCAGAACTTACAGTGCGAAAACTGGAAAGTGCTGAGCAAATTGAAACAAATTGATTACCCAACCTTGCCCCAAGGAGTTCATAGGATAAAAGGGACTCTGGAGGCAGGCTTGCCTGCTCCTCGGGCCGGCCCTGTGGGTGGCTGGGCAGCCACCATCCGAGACTTGCCTGCGCCTTGGGCTGGCCCTTGGGGACTGAGGGGAGTGGGGGACTCTGGAAGGAGGTGGGTCTGGCCTTGCTGCATGCCTGCCGCCCCGGTGGGGCTGAGGGGACTGGGCGCCGCCATCTTTGAAGGCATGGCAGTCAATTGGCATATTCGCTCCTTATTGGCTGTGGGCGCCACCATCGTTGCGATGGTGTGAGGTTCCATTAGCATATTCCCTCTTTATTAGATAGGATAATAATATAGACTTCCGCCAGTTCACAAAAGGGAAGCACTAGGGAACTTTAAGTAAAATCTGAGATACTCATTTTCAGATAATTACTCTGATAGCACCTGGCGAGTTATTTGAAGGGGAGGTGGTATAGTGGAACCAGTGATGTTTCAACCAAGTATGAAGCTCTTGAAAAAGTCCCTGTGACTTCAAATGCAGCATATGACAATGGGGATAGAGAGGGCGGAACAGATTTTTAAAAATGAAAGAAGCAAAAAGGACCACATTTGGCTAGTGATTGGATGGAGGGGCTAAAGGAGTCAGGAAACCTGAAAATAACTTCTGTGAGCTTTGCTTGGTTGACAGGTGTATAATGTTCCACCAATAATTGAAAGGTATAAAAAAAAAGAAGAAATATAGGAGGAAGAGAGGATTTAAAAGGGGAAATATAGTGAGTTCAGTTTTCCCTAGTGTGACTCTCAAGGGTCTAGAGGAAATTTAGATGGTATGGTCTAATACAAGCATTTCATAAAAAGAAGGAATTTGCTTGTTCTAAAAGCTACTTAGTTTTCTGATTAAGAGTGAAACAATTATGAGGGTAGTTTTTGGAGAAAGTTATGAAATAAATAGGAAGAAATAGAATGCATATAATATTAATGCAACATCCTTTGGGTTTCCGCTGAGATGGAAACATTTTAATACATTCATTTATGGTAAGGCATAGTGGCTTAATTATTCTTTCTCCTAAGAATATTTGTACTTTATAAAAGACAGCAGTACTTAACTGAATTCCCGATAAAAGAATTTTGGGTACCTTAATCCTAGAGGTGGGGCAATTTCTTCCTCTCTCTCTCAAATGAGCTGTCTAGAACTCTTCAAATCATAGTGCATTTATATCTGTAATTCCATGTATTAGGGTATGGGGGTAATTTGAACAACTGAAAGTAGTCATAAGTTCTATACATGAATTCTACTTATTCATGAACTAACCCCTATTTGCATGTTTGTTTCAAAACATTTAAGATCTTTTGGATCTTGGCATCATGAGGACAGAAAATAAGTTATTATTGATCAATATTGAAAAATTATTTACATGACTTATTTATTTGAATTTGAAGCTATTTTAAAGCTATTTCCCAGCTCTGTTCTCCCCTTCTAATCCCGTAAGTGTGATCATGCTCCCTTCAGTGTGCTCTGTATCCCTTGCATGGGGAAGGGGCATACCTCTCCTCTTCCCCACATACCCACTCAGCTGTGGGTTTCTGATGCATGGTCTCAGTGTATATACAATGGTCTTGGTTATCTGTTGCACCCTTTAACAAGAAAGCTTTTAAGAAGCATCTCATGGACACATTAATTGAGCTTAGCATGTCTTCTTTGAAACTATTAGGAATGGGAGGAATGGAGGTCTAGGGAGAGTAAAACGATTTTCCAAAGATATAGGCTGCTATCTTGACATCTCTAGCCACTAGAAAACTCTATCTCCTTCCTGTTAGAATGTCAAAGCATGGGAGAATTATCCTGCTCTTGTGATGGAGTGGTCTGAGGATACTTTCTACTAGGCAAAACGTCACCCATCTCTCAGATTTCCTAACTTTGGTTTTTATTTAGAGAAGCATGCTGCTCACTGTTCCAACATCATCCATCTTTGTCAGCACCCAAGACCACAACTTCATCCTAATGGCCAGTGATATATTGCAAATAGAGTTCACCAAAGACATTAAACCATGTATGACATTTATATGGACTCTGAGCCCACCAGAGATGGATTGATGCTGCCAATAAAGTCTTGTAGTAGCCAAGCAAACAAAAGACTAAGGAGACGTGGTGGTGGTGGTGGTAGGAAAGCAATAGCTTTCTCCATTCAGTCTCCCCTCTATAGAGGTTGGCTTACATCTGACTTAGGAAATGAAGAGGATCAAGTGAAAATAGGGGTTTGGGGGGCCCCAAATAGGAAAAAACAACCTTGATTATCAGTGGTACTTCTAACAGCCCTGGCTGGGCTAATGACCAACACAGGTAACAGGACACTTGGAACAACCCACTTCGAACCTAGTGCACACTAGCTACCATATATCTTCATGGAACGAAGAAAGGATTTAAGGAACATGGGTGCAGAAGTGCAGTGGGTCAAGGGAGGGTTGGCATGCAGCATGTGCACTGTGTCCCTTTGGCAGGTATCTTCAACATCACAATCATTATGTCATATATGGGCACGCTGGCCCAGAATGGACAGAAGGCTGCCTTCTACTCTGTCCAGGCTGCAAGCTGCATTAAAGATGGCAATATATCAGGATTTGTACCCACGATTACCAGCATGATAGGATCCATCTTTACCTGATCCAACAGGTATTTTGTAGGTACTTGGGCACCCGCTTAGAAAATGATCTTATGCAACGAAAGAGTAATTTATTTTTCATAGCTAATGCTAATCAGTTATGCAAGCACATAATGTCTTTAAGCTTGCTGCAAACAAAATGCTCGGTGATCAGAAGTGGGGGCTTTCCCACCCCCACCCCTGCCTCTCCACATGGACGTGTGCACAGTGTTATGGACCACTCTGTATGTGCTTGTGTGCGTTCTTCACGGACCACCTGCAGCTAAGTTCAGAAGATGCAATTTTTTATATCAGGAAACCGCAGCAACACATACACATTAAAAATTAACCAGTGACTAAGAAAGCCCCACATTCACATAGAGAAAGACAACAATAAATTTGACTTACCAGTTTAGGTTGTTCGAGGCAGCAGAGGAGCAAGTTGCTGGTGATTGTCCAGTGCTTTCATTCAGTAAATCACATTGACTTTGCCTTCTCCTGTGGCTCAGCCTCTGCACAAAGCAAGCGAACCTCCTTCCTATTCTGTGTAAGGAATAAAATGTGAACAGGATCACTACAGGCAAGAGCTGAAGTCCATGATCACTAAGCTACTCTCAATGCGAAATGAAAGAGCAAACGATGCACAGAGAGGAGGGGAGAGGGAGACAGCTTGGCTCAGAAACTAAATGTATTTCGTGACTGCAGCCTCGGGAAGGCTTGATTTCTCAAGCTCTTGTGCATGTAGTAAAAGGATGCCATGCCTTCAGTGTGTCTTAGCCTATTGTATCTGGGAGGTCCTTTAGGAACAGAACACAGGGACAATAAGCTTCATGGCAAATAAGACTGAGTAGGAACCGGCTGTCACTCAAGGATGAGCTGTGGGGCAGCAAGGCAGCCAGTTAGCTTTGCACTACATCAATTGCAGGGAAAGAAATATCGGCTGGCTTTCAAGAGCCTGTCCAGCAAATCAGACTGCAAGTGTTCTGCAGCTCTCCGGGGCCAGTCACCCCCGTACTCCCACAGCTGTCGGTCTAGAAGCACCCAGGTGGCAGCCACACCCCCACCTCAAAGCCTCTGTGCAAACCTTGACCAGTTTCCACAGAAGCAAGGGACAACTTTAGAAAGCTCCCAATCCAGTCGGGGCTACTCAACCAAGCTCAACCTTTAGTTGGAGCAGGTTCTGAGAAAGTAGTCTGCAGACGGGGCAGAGGACATGGAGAGTCTCAGTCTTAGGAGGAAGATTCCAGTGCTTCCTGCGGGCGAGCCACCTATGGCTCCTTTCACAGCAGCATGCTTTACATGACTAAAAAGACACAGAATGAATTTCCTAGAAAGCCGCTAATGTAGACATTTTTTAATGTTTCTCTCTGAAGTAAAATGGCAAGAGACCTTCACAGGCTGCTCATTGCGTTAGGGAGACATTGCAGACTGAGAGCACATATGAATACTGCTTCCGCGCCCCCCCCCCCCCCCCCCACACACACACGTCCCTAGCAACAGCTTTAAGACTCTTTCTAAAGCTCTGTTCAGATCGTCTCTCTCTGCCAAATGAACGCTTAGCTGCTGGGATGACTTTGGAAATAATTTTGGGCCCTTCTACTAGGTAGTGACTCTGGGCTGTTATTTATACACTTGATCTTAGCCAAAAGGCCGAGAAGCAATGGGCTGTTATTTATACCTGGAACGGAATCAACTCCCCAACTCCCCAACTTTGAATGTGACTCTGTGGGTAATCAGTCTCTTGGTTATAAACAGGAGGGTGGAGTATTCATCTTTGCCCTGGTTAACTAATTAGAATCCTGGAAATGGCATGCTGTATTCCTGAACATCTCCCCTTTTCTAGGGATAGCAGCTCACCTGGCGGCCCACTGGTCCCCGCCAGGTGCTGTTCTGGAATCTGAGCAAGACTGAGTGACTCCTAAAACCTCATGTTCAAAGGTAGAGCTCAGTTTAGCTTTTCACAAGGGTCTTACTTTTCTTTCCCATTAACATCTCTGGAACATTTTTTTTCTCTCTTTTTCTCCTTGGACTTATTTGTTCAGCATTGCTACAAATAATCAAATTTGGGACTATTCATGCCCTTGAGTTTCAGAAGGCTGTTTTTTCCCCCTCCATCAAGGGTTAAGGAGGAGTCAGACTACACTTGCTCAGCTTAGCCTAAATGATCACCAGGTAACACTTTATCCTTATCTGTAAAAAACCTTTGACTTTAATGCTGATTTACTTAAAAGCCATCTGATGGCGTTAGGCAGGTGACTGAGTAATTCTTCTAAGGTAAGGGGCAGCCTGACAGGGGTCAGGAGTTCATTATGCTCTGCAAACCTAAGGGGACGATGCTCCCTGTAATTGCTTGTTGGAACAAATGCTGAAGTCTGAGTCATATAAGCCCTCATCCCTTGCAAAGGAGATCCATCCATTCATGCATCCATCCATTTATTCATCCACTCTTCAGCAGACATTAAGTACTAGTATTTACTAGGTTATGGGCCCAGCACGCTTTCGCTGCACCACTCTGATCCCTTAGTATTTACTAGGTTAGATACACTGAGCCAAATATTTTCATGTTACCAAGAGCCTATTGATGAAATATAAACTCTATGATATATTCTAGCAAAATTCTTTATAACCTGGTTCTGCTTACCCCTTGCCTAATTTCTTGCCGCCCCTTTTACTTAACCTTCATGCTGTCTCTTTGAATGACTTTCAGTTCCTTGGATACACCACACTCTCCTAACTCTAGATTTCCGCATGAGATTCTTCTTCCTGAATGCTCTGTCCCTTTTGCCTAACTAACTCATGTGCAGCCTTGGAGTCTGGGCTTAAACATCACCTCTCAGGGATATTTTCCTAGACCTTGGGCTGTGATGTTCCCTGCTTTGTGGCCCTACAGCACCTTATACCCGCCCATAATTTTGTTGCAACAAAATACTGTAAGAGTTTTTTGACACTGTAAGAGTTCAAGTGCAAAGTCCCTCATTCACAGCTGTTTCCAGTGCCTCTCAGAGTTCCTGGCACACAGAACGCATTCAATAAATATTTAATGACTGTTTTGTTGAAGTGCTTAGCATGTATTTGCTGAATGAACCAACCATCTCAAAGAATAAATGGGGTCTGAGAATTGAAAGGAACCCTAAAGTTCACTGAGTACATCTAATTTCTCTTGCCAAGTGGCCATCCATTGGAGGCTTGCCTGGTCTGATTATTCCTTCTTGATTAACCATACTGATTACACACTTGCTTGTCTCCTACCTCCCAGCACTTTTACAGCATGTTCTTGCTTTTTGTTCTCCAGCTGTTTCCTGGAGTCTGTCTCATTTCTTACTAACTGATTTTCTCCACAATTCCTAGCATAAGCCTGCAATTATTTGATGCTTGATTCATTCGACAGCAAACATTTGAACAGGGAGTTAAGTGATCAGAGACTTGCTTTAGGAAGATCTCTGGTATT